GAGAGATAGCAGATTACAAAAGATATTCATTGTCAATTCTTTTCACTGCCAATATTTTTAAATACTACTTTCTAAAGTGTAAAAACTGAAGAATATATATATATATAATGTATATATGCATATATATAGTTTGACTCATAGAATGGTCACATCTAAAATTTTTAGAAATCTAAATGATCCAGTGGAAGTAGGGGAGGGACTATACTAAAGGGAGAAATCTTTGACGTATTTATCCAGGGCTGGAAGTGTGATAAATATTCAATTTCACTCTGCTATTAAAATATCACATGGCTTATTTACTAAGGCTGGTATTCCACCTTCGAATTACTTACTTGTGGCTTTAGCCATGGCTGAACTCTGGTTTGTACAGTTGTACTAGTGCCATATGAAACACACAGACCCATTGATGCTTAAATAATATTCACTGCTTTCGTTTGCAGCTCTGGGTTACCCCAGGGCTTTGGAGAAATCTCTGTCATGCCTTGGCTGTCTGTGAGTGTAATATTGTATCTCAGAAAGGCCAGATGCTGATAGAACAAGAATCCTTAGAGGCTACGAAGTTGGTTTTTGTTTTTTTTTTAAATTCTCATAGACAAGGAAAAAACATTGTTAAAAATCTTTCTGTATCTAACTGTGTTGAATGGGCATGACCAATAAGCAAATGTTGAGAGATTTTCTTTGGTGAACCCAAATCTGCCTTTCCTAGCAGCCAACAATAGTCAAGCCACCACCGCAGGACTGGGGGGTCTCCAAACTGCTAGGCCAGGCAGAGAATCTGCCTACCTTTGTTCTGTTTCTCTAAATAGTATGTTCCGCAGAAGAACTGATCCTTGTCGCCATCCCTGGATGCTGACCCACCAGCCACCCACAAGTTACTGGTGGCTCTGGTTGAATCCAGTTTGGCTGTAGAATGCTGGGCCTTGGACCAGAATCATTGCAAGTGAAGCCCAGAGGGTCTCTGACTGCAGGCTTACAAGCCAGGTCTGCCTGCTTTCCTCCTTGCTGGGCTCTGTCAGGGAGAAGCACACACGTGGCTCAGGCAGGGACTTCCATTCCCAGATTCTGAAGGCATAAAATGTGAGCCCAGCAGGGGCTGAGGCCTCCAGGGAACCCTACCTTGCGTGAAAATTCTGTGCTCTGGTACCTTCCGAGTGAACACTGGAAAGAGAGCAATTGTCCAATTGTGAGGAGTGGTTTCAGGGAAGTCTGTGCAGCAGAGTGGAGTTGTTAGGTCTATTCCCAGGAGGAGTTTACATCCTTCTAGCCTTTCTCTCCCTACTTAGCTTAATTCTAGACAGTAACATCTAACTGTTACCTTACTGAAATCTTGCTATTTAGCCATGTTTAGAATTTTTGAGTGCAAGAGCTGGTAGGAATCTTAGGGATCAGCTAAGCCAGTCAATTCCTGTTTCAGAGACAGAAACAGACTCAGAGAGGTTAAACATAGATTCAATGCCTAAGCCTGGAGGAGAACTCCAGGTGCTGCTACCTGGTTCAACATACCCATCCTCGACTCGATACCATCACATGTAACGTTCTCAGCTTTAATTTTTTTTTTCTTTTTTTCTTTTTTTTTTTTGGGGGGGGGGGGGTCCGGTCCTGGGGCCTGAACTCTGGGCCTGGGCGCTGTCCCTCAGCTCTTCAGCTCAAGGCTAGCACTCTACCACTTGAGACACAGCACCACTTCCGGCTTTTTTCTTTTTGCTTATGTGGTACTGAGGAATCAAACCCAGGGCCTCAAGAATGCAAGGCAAGTGCTCTACCACTGAGCCACCTTCCCAGCCCAGCTTTAATTTTTTTTTAATTTATTTAAAACTTCTTTTTATTCTCTGTGCCAGTCCTGAGGCTGAACTCTGGATCTTGTACTCACTCATGGCTAACACTTCTGGTGTTTTGGGTTTGTTGTTTTTTGTTGTGGTGGTGGTTTGTTTTGTTTTGTTTTTCTGGTTTGGAATGGAGATCTCAGCTTTCAGGGTAGCTAAGATCGTAGATGTAAGCCACTGACAAGAAGTGCTGTCAGCTTTTATGGGGGAGGGGGATGAAGAGGGAAGGTGAGGGAGGTGTTCTGCCCTTACAGAGCATGTGGAATTACATTCATGAAAGAGAATTTTTTTTAATCTTCTTGACCTACTGTCCAGTTAAGAGTATAATGAAAGAAGGGGGTGGGGAGAGTCGGACGCAGCAGGGACATGTGACAGCTTTGAACATGCTTGGCCATGGAGCTGCCTCCTCTGGCCTTTGTTTTCATGGCCTCTGTCATTGCACAAAATCAAGGACTTCATAGAATCCTAGGTCTTTTGTGAAAGTGAAGGGAGCGGAGGAGCCAGGGCTCTAAACTGGACTCAGTGCTATCGGGTCTTAGAAAATCAAGGTGAAAACTATAGCTTGTTGCAATCCAGCTTCTGTCCAAGACAAACAGAAGCTGAAGAGGGTCAGAACTCTTACCAGAGCTCATACTGCCAGTTGGTTAACTCCTTCTCCAGGTCAGCCTCTTCCTATATGTTACTCGCCTTTAATCACTGCAACAACATCTAGAAGATTTTATTATCCCCCTTCTCCATAGGAGAAAATGGAGGCTCAGAAAAACAAAAAGCAGTCTCTTGTTTCCCCAAATAGGGGCCAGAATAAAAGTAGGCATAAAGTACCTAGACTCCCTGACTGATGTTTCTTCCGTTACATCTTGATGCTTCCTGGAAAAACACAAAGCAAAGGCTAGACTCCGTGATGTCTACTATCTCCTTTCCTCATGCTTAGATAGTTTTACAATGAGCACTTACCAGCTTATTGGCTAGTCCTTATCAGCTGTTTCTCTCCAACCTGATAGGCATTGTGGCACATCCAGGCTCTTCTGTGATTACTCTTTCATTGAAAAAATAGTCAACAATTGTTTATTGAGGGCATGTTATATGGCAATCACCATGTTATTGACAGAAGCATGGGACCAGAGAGTACCTACCTGGAGATTGTTCATCAGAATGGAGCAAATGTTTTCGAGAAGATCTCAAAAGCCATCTCCAGACACTAACTGGGAGCATAAACTTTTGTTTTTATGCTGTGGACTGAACAGCAGGGCCTTATGCCTTACCGCATCAAGAGGTGTATGGCTTATAATCCCAAGGCCAGTTTAAGTCTTGACTTACCACTGCTTGTTATTTAACTCAGGAAAATTTCTTAGCTTCTCTGAGCTTCACTTTCCTCACTTATATTAACAGGAATTTAAATCCTTTCCCCACGGGGATTCCCTCACAATAAGGTTACAAAATCATTCTTAGTCTGGGCCTGGGCACTGTCCCTGCATCTCTCTGTGCTCAAGGCTAGCACTCTACCACTTAAGCCACAGAGCCACTTCCGGCTTTTGCTGCATCTGTGGTACTGAGGAATCAAATCCAAGGGCTTCATGCATGCTAGACAAGCACTCTATCACTAAGAACATTCCCAGCCCTCATCCTTAGTCTTCATAATGCAAAGCAATGATTTTTGTGCATACATATGTATGTTTCTGCATAGCACTTAAATCTTTGTGTGCTGCATTGTCCCTTGATTATTATCTTGCAAGAATAGTCTCTCTGCCTAAGGTGGAATTTTTTTTTCTTTGTCAGTAGTGGGGTTTGAACTCTGGGCCTGAGCTCTGTCCCTCAGCTTTTCAGCTCAAGGTGAGCATTCTACCACTTGAGCTACAGCGCCACTTCTGGTTTTCTGGTGGTTTACTGGAGATAAGAGTTTCATGGATTTTCCTGCCGAGGCTGGCTCTGAACCTCAATCCTCAGATCTAAGCCTTCTGAGTAGACAGGATTTCAGGCGTGAGCCACCAGTGCCTGGCTTGAAGTGGAATTTTGTTTTTTCCTCCAGTGATTCAAGCAAACTTGTGGTTTGACCAGAATATCCAAAATCTGAGTAGAAACTTCATTCCTGGGAATACCATTCTAAAGCTGTGCTGTCCAGAAAAATCTTTCTACAGTGATTTCTGAATGCCTCTATAGCATGTTTATCTATTGAGTGCTTGAAATATGCTATAAAATATATATAATGTGAAAGTGAATTTTCAGTGTTTCTTAATGTAAGTAGCCACAAGTCCTGAATCTGTTGGCACCTCACTGCCTGGAATTTGTCCAGGAGATTCCCTGCCTCCCTTATCCTTTGATGGTTAGCTCACAGAAATCAATCAACAGCAAGCAAAAATCATTCTTTTCCCCTATTGGTTAAATTCTATGATTCTCCAACTGCACTGTACCTTAGGATCACCTAGTGGTCTTCATAAATCAAATCTGCTAGGCCCACTCTCAAGAGTTTTTGATTAGGATGGCTTGAGTGGGACCTGAGAAGGTCATTTCTAGCACATTCCCAGCTGTTGCTGTTATTGCTGTCCTGAAAAGAACACATTGAGAAGCACTGGCTAAAGTAGCATCTTTTGGGGTTGGATGCCCTTGGGAATCCCCAGGGGAGCCTTTGGCATTCCCAATGGCCAAGCTTTCATTGGGAATCTCTGAGGGTAGAATCCAAACAAGAGTTTTCCTAAAGCTCCCCAGATGATTGCAATACACTGTCAAGGTGGAAACCACTGGACTGACAAAACCTTAGTGCAGTTGTCTACTAAAAAATAATGGGGGGGCTGGGAAGGTGGCTCAGTGGTAGAGCACTTGCCTTGCATGCCTGAGGCCCTGGGTTCGATTCCTCAGCACCACATAAGCAAAAAGAAAAAAGCCGGAAGTGGTGCTGTGTCTCAAGTGGTAGAGTGCTAGCCTTGAGCTGAAGAGCTGAGGGACAGCGCCCAGGCCCAGAATTCAGGCCCCACGACCGGACCAAAAAAAAATAATAATAATGGGAAATCACTTTATTTTATGTCACAGGACTATTGGGAGAATCACATGAGACTTGGCTATGAAAGAGTTTCATAGACAGTGTCAGGATGTGGGCCCTGACTGTCTGGGAAGAGCCATCTACACATGATGATGATATTTCCATGGGACCAATAACCTTCCTGTCTGTGCTTTGCTTTCCAGTACTGCCCCACTGACCAGGCTTCTACAGGCACGGATGCTGAACATGTACAACAATTTTACAACCTGCTGACAGCCTCCATTGATGTATCCAGAAGCTGGGCAGAGAAGATTCCAGGATTTACTGATCTCCCCAAGGAAGATCAGACATTACTTATAGAATCAGCCTTTTTGGAGCTGTTCGTTCTTAGACTTTCCATCAGGTAAGTACAAGTATTTTATTTTCCTTCACTTCACCCCTTCCTTTAAAGGATTAACAGCCTTCATATTGTAACCAATTCCACAGGGAACAGTTTGCTCAAAAAGCAAATATGAACAAATATGTATGGTGACTCATGCTTGTGGTTCCAGCTACCTGGGAAGTGAAGGTAGAAGAATCATGGTTCAAGGCCAACCCAAGCAAAATTTATCAAGGACCTGTCTTTAAAAAAAAAAAAAAAAAAACTGTGTGCGGTGGCTTACATCTATAATCTCAGCTATGTGGAAGGCAGAGATAAGAGCATCCTGGTCTGAAGTCAGCCCCAAATAGAAACAAAAGAAAGAAAAAGATGAAGGAAGGAAGGAAGGAAGGAAGGGAGGGAGGGAACGAGGGAAAGGGAGGGAAAGAAAGAAAGAGAAGAAAGAGAAAGAGAGAGAAGAAAGAGAGAGAAGAAAGAAAGAAAGAAAGAAAGAAAGAAAGAAAGAAAGGAAGAAAGGAAGGAAGGAAGGAAGGAAGGAAGGAAGGAAGGAAGGAAGGAAGGAAGGAAGGAAGGAAGAAAGAGCAATAGCTCGGAATATAGCTCAAGAGATAGAGTTCCTGTCTAATAAGCACAAGTTCTGAGTTCAAGTCTCAGGACCAAAAAAAAAGCAAATATGAAACACAATCAGACATTTAAAAAAAAATCATCAGAGGGTAATGGGAAGAACATTGAGGTGGCAATCAGAACTCCTGGTTTTTCATTAGCCTCCTAGCTAGTCAGGAGGCTGAGATCTGAGGATTGTGGTTCAAAGCCAGCCCAGGCAAGAAAGTCTGTGAGACTTTTATCTCCAATTAACCACCAGAAAACCAGAATTGGAGTTGTGACTCAAAATGGTAGAGCACTAGCCTTGAACAAAAGAGCTCAGGGACAGCACCTAGGCCCCAAGTTCAAGCCTCACAACCAACAACAACCACCACAACAAAAGAACTAGTTTTATTCCCATTTCTAATACAAATTTACTATAAGAAACTCTCTTCTTTGTAAGACAAGGATGGGGTGAATTGAGGGAATCTCTAAACTCCCTGGCAACTTCAATATTCTATGGCTCTGTGAAGAATCTTCTACCATATTCCCCAGGAATGTAGGACACATAATTACCATGTTACTCCATTTCATAAGTAACAGTCCATGTATATCCAATAGAACTGTGAAGACTTTCATGCTCCGGCATTTACTCCAAGAGAACAGTTCTGGACCAAATGATTTGGTCTAGCCCCTTACAATCAGTAATACTAACTACAAAGAAGAAGTAATTTTTCAAAGAATTCAAACATGGGACCTAATTCCTCTCATGTAACCTTTAAATAAACAAACAAACAAACTGTATTAGTTTTTACACACAGTATTGTTTCCTTCTACCCTTCTTTCAATGATATATTTTTAGGACATTGAACTAACATTTCACCAAATATTATAGCAAAAACCATCCTCTTTCTCTTCCTTACTACCCTCTCCACAATAGTTCCAGAAATTCCTTCTTAAACTACAGACTCCATGCCTTATTCCCTTTTATGTTTTGTAAGCTAGGGGAAAAGTCCAGAAATCCGAAGTTTTAATTGATGCTGTCTCAATGCTGATACCAGCAGATATTCTGATACTCAGAGATCCATCTTTCAGCTCTGAGATTGGATCATTCTGTCTTGGGTATACCTGTGTCGCAAAAATCAGTGGGAGGGACAAGTAGAGTGTCCATCGCTAGTTCAATGTCTAACCAACCCAGTGGACACTAGAGCCCAGCAGCAATGTGACTGTCATCTACTAAGCATTCAGCAGAGGATTAAGTACACAATAAGCTCCATGCAGGTGGACACCATTCCTGTCCTATTCACAAAGTTTTCTCTGGTACCTAGCTCCAGGAAGAACATAGAAAATACTTGCTGAGTGAAGGGATAAAGGAAGCACAAGAGATACTACCTTGTGAATGCAATAGCCAAAATAGACAAATTGGTAGTAAGATATTTTAAAGTTAAAGGAAAACAGATTAAAGTAAGGACCCTATACAATTCAGAACTAGTTCCATTTACTCCTCTGGCATCCTCTTTCTAGGTACTGTGCTTTCAAATCCTTTCTTTTATTTAAGTCCCTCAGCCTTCTTAGGGGGTAGCATTTAATATTTCTGTGCTAGGAATAGATAAAGGGGATAAGGGAAAAGAAGTCCAGAGAGATTAAAGGAGTGTCCAGGGTCAAGCTGCCAAGTGAGGATGTCTAACAGGAGGTTCTGGGGTTCCTCTCATAAGGAAGAATGGGATGGTTATGTACATAAAAGAAACTATCCAGACAGGTTTAGAAATAGCCCTCCATTGCCCCACTGTTTGAAGTCATGAAAACAATACAAAATAAGGATTCATTTTTATGTTAGCCCACTTTTTAGTTCATAATTGACTTCTGGTACTTGCATAGAGTTCATGCCTTTTGTGTTTGAACAGTACAAGGTAGTGTCTAGCCTCTGCTTTTATCAGCCTTTGACATTTAAGAAAATAAGGGATTCCAGGTGCTGGTGGTTTATGCATATAATCCTAGCTACTCAGGAGGCTTCATGCCTATAATCCTAGCTACTCAGGAGGCTGAGATCTGAAGATCACAGTTCCGATGTCAGCACAAGCAGGAAAGTCTGAGGGACTCTTATCTTTAACCATCATAAAACCAGAAGTGGGCCTGTGGCCTAAGTGTTAGAGTGCTAGCCTTGAGCAAAAAGAACTCAGGGGCAGTGTCCAGGCCTGGAGTTCAAGGCCCACAACTAAAAAAATAAAAATAAAAAAAAAAGAGCTGGGAATGTGGCTTAGTGGTAGAGTGCTTGCCTAGCATGCATGAAGCCCTGAACTACATATACAGAAAAAGCCAGAAGTGGCACTGGGCTCAAGTGGTAAAGGACTAGCCTTGAGCAAAAGAAGCTTCAGGAACAGTGCCCAAGCCCTGAGTCCAAGCCCCAGGACTCAAAAAAGGGAAAAAGGAAAATGGGGCAGCCCTAACTCAAAAGCCCTTAAGTTCATTGCAGAGAGAGTCAGTGCCCTGGGCTTCATCTCTGTGTTAAGTGCTTGTTCCTCATTGCTCTCATCAGCAACTGATTCAGCAATAAGACAGCAGGTGCCCGAGCCCCATCTTTACGCAGGCTGATCTTCCCCAAAGACATTAGCACAGCCAAGTGATACTGATTGTTTATTCCTAAGAACACAGACTTGTTCATTGCAAACATCCAGCCATGCTTTATGGCGACATACAAGCCCTGTGTGTGAGTGTCGATGTGTTACGATAGATACCATCAGATTAGTTAGATCAAATGGACCTGTTTAATGCATCTCCTCCTCCTTTACTCCCCAGGTCAAACACTGCTGAAGATAAGTTTGTGTTCTGCAATGGACTTGTCCTCCATCGACTTCAGTGCCTTCGTGGATTTGGGGAGTGGCTCGACTCCATTAAAGACTTTTCCTTAAATTTGCAGAGCCTGAACCTTGATATCCAAGCCTTAGCCTGCCTGTCTGCGCTGAGCATGATCACAGGTAAGCACCATCTGGCCAAAGCCAAAGCAATTGCATCTCCTTTCCCTCTTGTCCTGCATCAAAGGCCAGAATCATACACACCAGAAAAGGAGGGAAATTGCTGCCATTTCCCCCCTGCCCACCCCTGAAATATGCTAAGCTTAATCTGATGTATCGATAGAGGTATGCATCTATAGCTTGTCATCATGAGCTTGTAGGAGAGGGGAATCCAAGTCTATCATCATTTTCAACAACCCTACTATGTGAAAATCTAAGTCCACAGGAGCTCCCTTGACAGTTGGACTAGTCTTACAAGGAAGATTCAGTTAACCACCCCATTCATGCAGGACATGGAAAGCAAGCTATCCCTGTTCCCAATCCTTGCCTAGTAATCCAAAGTAAATAGAAACAACTACAGACATATAAAGACAAGGTGACTTACTAACTTTAGGAGATGGTTGAGGAAAATGGCTAGTGATAAAAAAAAAATGGCTGAACTCCATAGTTGTTAAAAGAATCAGAACCACAAAACCTATTGTTTCTATATGATCCCATTTCCCCTTTAGACATCTCTCCTTTTCTGTCTTTTGGGAGATAATGGATCCCCAAGATCCATATTGGGCAGGAGAAGGCACTGCGCCCATCTCCCTGTGGCTGCTAAGGCCCAGATACTTTTGCCCCTCATACTGGCAGAATTACTTCTACAGTCAGACTGGGGTGGTGTGGGCACAATACGGGGCGGAGCTCTGGAAGAAGCTTCCCAGACTTGTGGCTCATCCCTGTCCTTTTGGTCAGATCGAAGCACAACCTAGGCTGTTGCTTGAGGGTCAAGTTCCAATTGGATATGCCCATGGCTGGAGGAAATGTTTTTTGGACAGAAGACAAGTGCATTTCCAGAGGCCTGAGTGCATCCTTTGGGACAAATGGTCCTTTCCTTCTGATATAGCACAGATGAGGGGTGGTTTGTCCAAGCATTGGATATTGGGGTAGTTCATACATAAAACACAAAGTAAATGCATGTGCTATATAGTTAGGAATGAGACACTAGGGTTGCTCTTTTGGCCTTCTAAGTGGACTTTCATGTGGTCTTTGGTCCGGGGTTAAAAATTCGCTTCTTTTATTACAGCTGCCATGAATTCCAAGAAGGCTATTAATGAACCAAAAGCAAAGGCAGTTTCAAAGAGGGTGGATTCTATTTAGATGACTTTATGATGGCGTATCAGAGCATCAAAATAAGCATATTTAAGGCCCAAATGTATCACTCCAGCAGTACTGAAATAAAATTGGTCCTTTAGCCCTATTTCATAGTCACTTAGCTCTTCCTAGGACAGTTAAACATTCAAATCTGGAAAGCATGGAATTTAGTTCACTTTAAACAGACAAAAAATAAAAACAAAAGCTAGAGCCTGTCTTGGCTTTCTGTAGAAACAACCAGCCCATGGCCATATCTCTATGGAAATGAGAATTGAGTCTAGTTAATGAGCATGTTGTTGACCTGGGCACTGCACTACATGTCCCTAGGTTTTTAGAGATGATGACATACATTCCTGAAAGAGACAAATGTGCAAACGAATGTAAATGTTGCAGGACATTGAGGGCCACGTGGAGATTTAAGAGTAGAAACAAAGGACTGAGCATCCACAGGTGGGTGTTGGTCTTCTCAGAAAAGATTACAGGGGCTGGACGTGAATATAAACAGAAAATAGTTGCAGGCTAAAATGGAATTTTGCTAGAATCATGGAAAAATTGAAGCTGACATCATTTTCAGGAAAGAAAACACTTAAAATTAGAGTGAGGGCAGATGCCTCCCACTTGTTAACCCCAGTAAAGGGGTGGGGGTAGGAAGGGAAGAACATGAAGAACCAATCCTCCACACCTAGGTGAATATGTGACATTTGTCTTGAAAGCTGAAGGCAGCCATACCAACGTGTGGCCCAGGAGCACAATTAGGCTTGTTTTTTAGAAAGACCTACCCTGACTGCTGGTTTGAGGACAAATCAGGGCAGGAAACAGAGTAAGAGGAAAAAGGCTTTAAGTCCACCAGTGCGAGAGCTGGGACTTAAGAGGAGGCTAGCTTTGGAGGCCTGTTATCTTTTTCCCCCTCTTTAAATGCGAACAAATGGAGAGCTAAAAGAGTAGGCATTATGGGCAACAGACAGTCCTCACCTGGAGATGGGCAGCTCAGTACAGTACAGAGTAGGAAATGGGTGGTGCTAGTCTCTGTTTCCCACTTGCTGTGGACTCTGTGGTCAGCACTGTTCAGCCGACTTCCCGTTTATGTGGGACTTGCTGGAAGAGGTCGAAACAGCACATACATTGGAATCCAGCTTCTCTTTATGAGTCCAGGGCCCTAGGTTTAACATGTATGTACTACTGAGTATTGTACTTCATCTTCCCAAACCTCAGTTTGCACAGCCATCCTTTTGCAACAAGGATAACAGCATTCCTTCCATGAAGCAGCCATGTAGATTACAGAAAACTGTGTTTGTGAGTGATGTAGCCAAGGCTACAGCAGAATAACCATTTGATCCACTCATGCTCCTTCTTGGAGTGATGGTGACAGGCTCACACATACTCAGACATATCTGCCCATTCTCCTTGGAAACCTTGGGTGGTCCAGAATCCATCTGTGTTGTGAGGAAACAGGTGGTTGCCCTTAGAAATTAATATGCTTGATAGCTTATTTTCTTGCACACTTAAGAGGAAGGACTCAAAGGAGGATAGGATTGAAAAGTAATGAAACTATCCTTGCAACGGGCATAGTGATGCCCATTGGGTGCCCAATGGGTGGTGTTTTAAAGTTTACTTCTTCCCTCCCTCCCTCCCTTCCTCCCTCCCTTCCTCCCTTTCTTCCCTGTCAATCCTAGGACTTGAACTCAGGACTTAGGCACTGTGCCTGAGCTTCTTTTGCTTAAGACCTAACATTCTATCACTTGAGCCACAGCAGTGCTTCCAGCTTTTTTTTTTTTTTGTAATTTATTGGAGATAAGAATCTCATGGATTTTCCCGCCCCCGCTGGCTCTGAGCTGTTCTCTCAGCTCTAAGCCTCCTGGGTAGCTAGGATTACAGGTGTGTGCCCCGCTCTGCTTTAGGATTTTCCACATGGGACAGCTTCAGGTCCTATCCTTACTCCTATCAGCCAGTTCAGAGCAGGCTCTTAAAGGTACTGAGGTTCTAACCCACAAGAAGAATATTCCACTGATCTCATTTCTGCATCTCACAGCAGTGTCTTGGGAGACATTGCCTGTAAGAATGGTTGAAAGGATCAAAAGCATCAGGAAATAGCAGAAGAGGAAGGGAGGCCTGGGAAGCAGTGTACCCTGGAGTAGAGATACTCACTTTCATTTGAAAGTTGATTCCCATGAATGCTGGCTTTTACAAAATCTCCCTCATCATCAACAGTGCCTATGTAGCCAGGTGCTGATACACCACGCCTGCAATCCTAAACTATTCAGGAGACTGAGATCTGAGGCTTTCCATTCAAAACCAGCCTAGGCAGGGAAGTCCGTGAGACTCTCATCTCAATTAATCACCAAAAAGCTGGAAGTAGAGCTATGGCTCAAGTAGTAGAGCTCTAGCCTTGAGCAAAAAAGCTCCAGGACAGTGTCCAGGCCCTGAATTCAAGCCTCAAGACTGGCACATACAAATATATACAAAAGAGTGATTGTAGAATATCAGCTAGACTATTAGTAGTAGAAAATTCATCCCCAAGGCCAGCCTTGGTGGTTCATACCTATAATCCCAGGAGGCAGAGATGGAAGGGTTGTGGTTGGAAATCAGCCCAGGCAAGGGAAACACTAGCAAGCCTTATCTAAAAAACAAACAAACCAAAAAGAAAAACAAGGTGGGCATGGTTCTTCATACCTATAATCCTAGTGAGGCTGCACGTAGAGGTAGAAGGATCCAAGGGCAAAAGCTTGAGAGAGTGTTTGCTAGAGGACTTGAGTAACTACTATACTACAAATAGATAGATAGATAGACAAATTTACCCCCAAATAATTGTCCTCTCTTAACAGGGATGAACTCATGAAAAGAGAATCCTAGAAGTTTAGTCAATCTAAGTCCTGGCATGGTAGTACATACCTGTAATGACCGATAAGCAGGAGGTAAAAGTTTGAAGATCACAGTTGGAGACCAGTTTAAGAAAAAGTCTGCAAGAGCCATTGACAATCAATAGGCTGGTTATGATGGTCCCAGCTATGCAGGAAAGATAGAAGAAGGGTAGAAGAAGATAAAAGGATAGTCTAAACCAGTATGGGGGTGGGGTGGGGGGAATGTAGGACCTTAAATGAAAAACAACTAAAGAGAAAGAAGGGCTGGGAAGTGACTCAAGTGGTAGAAACCCCTGAGTTCAAACCCCAGTAGAAAATAAACTGGATAGTAACTGGTAGGTTAGCTCAACACAGCTTTCCCTTCCCCCCCAGTTCTTTTCCTTCCTCCTTGTCCTCTCTCTAAGCCCTCATGAAAAACTAGGTGACAAGGTGGGGCAGGAAATGGTTTCTTTCAGATCACTCTCCCTTCCTACAGTCACAGGGAGTTCCCCATAGTTGTGGGTTTCATTTTTTTTTCTTTTGGTCTGCAGTTTATCTACCTAACCACTGCCTCTTACTAATGCTTTGTCTCTGAAGTGATGGATATGTTTTGCTTCTGATGAGATAACCATTGGGTTCGTATCTGGTTGCAATTAATTGTATTTAACAAACAAGAAGTCCTTTAAGTAGAAAGTTAGTGTAAACTTACCATCTTCTAAACATTTATTCACTAAATGAGCGCTAAAGGCCCCTGTATGGCTAGGCCCTGCGGGAATGAGCTAGGTATGAATTCGGCTATCAGGAAGTACATCCTCAATCAGGAGGTTATATATAAGTATGATTTTAAAAAATGAACCCAATCTATGTGATTCATGCTCAGGCCCTTATAAGAGACAGAGTGTAGGAAAATCCAGGTAATTGCTAACTTTTGTGGGGTGAAGAAAGGTAAAAATGGTCATCAAGAACTTCTATGGTAGTAGCACGCAGATG